AAGCAAGCTTTTACTAATTCTCTCCTCTGACTTTTAGGATTTAAAATCTATTTCAAAGCCTTTTTTAAAAACTCCGGTTCCCTGTTTTAATGAGTTCGAAATAAATTGTTGAATCTGACATGATAGAATCTTTTAGCAACTTGAGACTGTTGGATATAAAACCTGGAATATACCTTAGCGGTAGCATCTAATTCCTAGCAGTGCTCTTAAATCCATTCCTCTTAGGGCCAGTACCCCGTGGCTTCATGGGGCTTCTTTATCCATTTCTTCATTTTACTTGGGTAGGAAGGCGGCCATTGGAGATTGAAACCACTTAGGTAGACAGAGGCATCCACCAGCTGTTTTATTAGACAACTCTTTGTTTTTAGTATACATCTGCCATCTGTCATTACCTTTTATTGCAGCAGATGGCAGGGTGTGGACAGTGAAGGTATGGCTGGAATATTGATGTTTCTTCAATTATATAAAGCTTGGTGAGCAATGAGCTCCATCCACCACAAGGTTTTAAAATGAGTGACTTCAATGATATTATTTTTTACTCCAGAATCTTTTTCCACATTACATCAGCAAGGAATATCTACATCTATTGTTTTTTTTTTTGTTTGTTTGTTTGTTTTTTTAAATCTCAGCATTGGCCTTAGAAAACTTGATCAGGGGAAAAATAAAAGTTCACAGATCTAAATAAGAAATAAAATCAACGTGTCCGTTAAAAGGTAAAGGGCTGTGATGTCATGTCTACGTCCCACTAAAACAGGATATAATAGACTTTAAACTTAATACGCCCATAGTTTAATCTTTCAGTTACATTTGTTTTTCCAGAGGTGTTAGGATAGCTAACAATTAAGCGATCTTGCGGGTATTTCCCAATATTTTCAATATAAAATCCAATATAAATGTACTTTAGATGGATAGGCATAGCCAATGGAAAAAATAAAAATTATTTATTGGAGTACTTTGGGGCTTTATTTGCACATTTTCCAGCAGTGTAAACACATGTAGAGGGTTCTGGGTAAAGAAATAACATTAATATATCTGGTCAATCATTGTTGAAGATTAACATATTATTTCTAGTTATTGCTTAGATTTAAAGATAAATTTGTAGGAAAAAAGAAAATTCACATGAAATAAAATGCATATTTATTTTTCTGACACAAACGTTAGCCTTCATAAAACTCAAACCCCTGAAGTTTATATTACTCTACCAGGCTAAACCGTGATGCTTTCCACACGTCCGGTTTAGCTTTATATGCTGATGATACGCCGATGTGATCATGGATTCCTGTGGTATTTTATCATCCAACCACAGCTTTTGTCTTTTTCTACTTTTAAAATGAATGTTCTTGGACTATGAACTTGATTTGAGTCGGTTGTTTTTAAAAGATACGCTAATATTTCACTCTTAAGGGCAAGCTTAGATTTTAGAACGAGCTAATTCAGGAGCAAATGGTCACGATTTGACAAAAATTAAAGAGCTGGCTTAGAAGTTTTAGATCACTCTGCATTTCTGGACATTTTTACCTCCAGGTAACAAAACATTATTATTATTATTATTATTATTATTATTATTATTATTATTATTATTATTATTATTTTCAAATTGAACGTATTGTTTCTTTAGACTTTTGCTGCTTTTTTTAGATCATGGCTGAATCAAGTTGTCCACAAAGTGCCCAGTTTTTCCCTCATATTAAGATTTTTAAACACATCTGTTCATTTATTGTTGGACAAACTTTGAGTTATCTTTTTTATCGACTTCATATCGTGAGACTTGAGTGATTCAGATAATTGTCCCGTGTCTCCTCTGCTTGGTTGGTGCCTCTTAATGAGCGTCATGTATCTTGTAAATGAGCGGATGTGTTTCCAGATGCTGTGCGGTGAATTATTTCCCCCTCACTGCGTCCGCGGCTGGATAGAGGGAATCAGAGTTTCTGGAAAAAACGGACCTCTTAAAAAAAAAAAAAAAAAAATCATCTTTTTTTGTATTTCATTTATAAAAGAAAACAAGGCTTTTCACTGAACACACTTTTAATGCTGCTGCTGCGTATTGAAATGATCTAATTTATATATATTTTTTGTTCCAGTCAGTAATTGTTAGAGTTGACAAAACAAATGCCGTTCAATCAATGTAAATCAGTTTTCAACACTGTCTCCAAACTAATTTATGGATAAACACGGAGCGCTACAGCTCTGCATCCAGTAATGGAGCACTGCCAGGGTACCACTGTTGAAATATCAGCCTGACGGTGGTGGGTTATTCAATTTTAACACAGCGTCTCTCTTACTGACAGTTGTTTAAAGTCTTTATAACATCTGCAAACAAAGTTGTGCTTACTACTGAACCGTCACTTTCTTGTTATATATTGTCTGTGGACTGAAGCGGTTGGTAACCAAAGTGTGTTGTCTATGCGGTACAGGATATCAGTGTTTTCAGCACTTTTCTTTTTTTAACCCAGGAAAAGGAAAAAAAAAACACTGGAAGATTTAAAATGTACATTATTTAGGAATTGACTTACGAGCTGATTCAGTGTAGATCCTGTAAAAGGTCTTGATCAGTTAAAGACAACAGAAACAAAATTGTTTTTGTTGGTTTTGCTGGATATGTACACTTAAACTCTTTGTAGAGTGTATAAATTCTTGTAAATGAAGATATGCAATCATTGGGGCAGCCTGTCATTTCCAGACCTGCTGGAATCGAGTGTGGATTTCCTGCTGTAAATAATCTTTAAAAGAGAGGAGGGCAGATCCAGTATCATCATTTCAAACTCAGTTTGAAACTGAACCTTTTGATCAATCTGCTGTGTATCAATAGCAGAATAAATTACCTGAATGTATCAGTCTCTTCTCCTTACTCTATTTTTTTTTTTTTTTTTAATCTCTGCTGTAAACCCAACTTTAAATCTGTTTCCACCTGGGTTCTTCCTCATGTTTTTTTTTTGTAGAAATTGCTGACTAATTTTTGCTATATTTGTTACTTCTCTTTATTTCCTGGGGATTTGTATTGATTGATTGATGTTTGAGCTTTAGCATGAAATAAATCCATATATTTCAAAAAGCCATCATTTGGAGAGTGCTGGTTGAAAAGTTCTTAACAGAAAATGAGTGCAGTTATGTGAATAAACCAACAGAGGGCGCCACAGTACAGCATTTTGTACACACACTGCTGCATGGGAACCATGTAGGCCTACTGTATTAACACACAATTTAATGTTAAATATCAGCACAGCACAGAAGCGTTTCACTGTAACCCTAAATGTCCAAATTTCTGACTAAATCAAACCAGGGCAGATACTTTAAATGTTATTCATTAGAACAACTTTAATGGGCAGAGATAGGAAGAAATTAGTTAGATTTACTTGTGTAGACTTTTTAAAAAAAGGGGAAAAAAAGGTATTTTTTTTTAGTTTTACAACATGGTAGTATTTTAACTTGAGTGAAAATATAAAGTATCATTATTCTTACTCCAGTAAAATTACTGGCTGCTATTGAGAGACACATTTTTCTTTTTTCGTACTGAAGGCTTATTGGTTAATTGTCTGTGAAAATTCTCAGTCATCCGGATCATAGAAAACAGACTTTTACTGAGTTTCGTCTAAATGTCTTCAGAAAAATTAAGCTAAAGTCTAGTATCCTTAGTAAACAGATCAGGTACTCAGTATTTCAGCAGCCTTTTTACCAAATATTTTACTCTTGATCAATTTATCTACTTTTTACTTGAGTAAAAATATGAAGTAGTGCTGCTCTCCACCGACCTCTGTTTATAGGTCAAACACATATACAAAGCTTTTGCTTAAACCCGTTTAGACAAGTTAGCAGCCTTAAATTAATGCTAGACTGAAGCACATTATTAACCCTTTAAAGCCTGATCCAAGAATAAAACAAAACAGAAAATAACTTTTTTTTGGTTTGAATTCCTTATTTGCCCTTTTAACAAAATATGTAAAAAGAAAAAACAAATAAATTTTTGATATTAATAATTATCAGGTATTATATTATCAGGTATATCTGATTGTGTACAATAGGATTTTAAGCAACGTTTTTACCATTAAATTATGCAAAAGGTGTCAGACACAAAGCATTTCAGAAACCGTATGTTTAAAATACGATACATTTGGCATTATAGGGTTAACATCTGCTGTCAGTTAACCCAAAAGCAGGAGATTGATTTGTATTTCGTAATTAAATCCATTGAGCAGAGAGACATTTTTCAAAAGGATCAAAAGAACCTTTTATTCGCAGATATCAGCAAAAAAGGTAACAAAATTTCTTGCAGTGGAAAACAGAGTAAATGTTTATCAGTAGTTGGGGAATTTATGGCATTTTTTCTAATTTTGAAAGAAAAAGAGGAAACAATTTAGCCAGCACTTGCCAACNAGGTTCCATTAGTCTCTCTTCCTGATGAATCAACATCATTCTTGCTTGTAGAAAGCCAGCCCTAGTGATTATCTTGCACTGAGACCAGCTGTGGCTGTCAGTGGGCCTGCCCAGGAAATTGCATATGCAGTAAATGTAACTGAAATGTTTCTGCAAGATATGCTTCACTCACTTAAGCTTATTATTGTCTTGTAGGTTTTAATCAGTCATCCAGGACTTCCTTATGATCTGGGATTCAATGTCGGTTTGCACAGAAAGACCAAGACATGAATTATATTAGTAATGACCTTGTCTTCGATTTTACCCTAGAAAATAGAGTCTCTTTATGTTGACTTCAGTTGTCCTTCAAAAAAGTAAAATTTCTTGGTAAACGTATTGGACCTTTTAGGAAATTGCTTTTTAGCAATAAACACACCGTGGAGGATGTGTGATGTTGTGGGCTGGTTTCTCCTTTTTTTGGCTCTGAGAACTTTCTTAGAGATTATTACATCATGAACCATTTGAAACGCAGAGATAAAAACCAGGAAATGTTTCATATAATTTAGTTTATTTGATAATTGACAGAAGAACTGACTATGTTCCCAAATAATGGCTGTTGTCGATCCATCTCTCACTCTGTCCCTTTCCAGGGAAAGGCTCCATCCCCTCCCTGGGCTCTCCTCAGTCCCTGGACGGGTGCTACTTCTCCCCCACCTTGGTGACAGACTGGTTCTGGGGGGTCGTGAGCGAGGCTGTGGAAGAGCTGAGACGCAGCCCCCAGAGAGGCATCCCAACCCCTGAACGGCTGGAGAGGAACGGACCCCTGACCACCATCATCCTTCAGGTACAGACCAGCTGCTTTCTGCTGCTGTAAACGCGCCGAGCGAGGCATGAAACGGTGTCCTTCTTGCAGGCGGGGTCCAGCCGGGTTCTGTATGACCTGCTGCCTGTGGTGTCGTTTCGGGGATGGCCCGCCGTGGCCCAGGGCTGGCTGACAGCCAACCACTTCTGGGACGGTAAAATCACAGAGGAGGAGGCCATATCTGGCTTCTATCTGCTGCCCTGCTGCTCCCCGCTGGGCGGTCGGCCCGACAGGGAGTGGAGGCTGGCCTTCTCTCGCAGTGAGGTGAGTTATTTATTCACTGCTCTCTCTTTTTGTCCCTCATTCTCGTATATTAACACTAATCCTGCATGATTCTTACGGACAGGTTCAGTTGAAGAAGTGCATCCCCTTCCCCATGGCCCAGGCTTTCCAAGCAGCCAAGGCGGTTCTGTCCCGCATTCTGGCCCGTCCCCGAACAGGCCTCAGCCTCTACCACCTGCGCACCCTTCTGTTTTGGGCTTGTGACAGACTCCCCGCCGCCTACCTGTCCTGTCCCGAAGCGGACACACCTGGTCGCCTCCTCTTGGGTCTCCTGGACGACCTGGCTCACTGTATCCTGGGGAAAAACTGCCCAAACTACTTCCTGCCTCAGTGCAACATGCTGGAGCACCTGAGTGACAGCCAGGCGCTGCTCGTTGCCAGGAAGCTGGCTCACGTGCGCTCAGATCCCAGCGAGCACCTACGGGCGGCTTTGGACCAGGCCCGGCAGGCGGGGCAGCTAAAGAAAGAGCTGACGGCCAGCACCAACGGCCACGGGTCACCCGGGCACCACCCTGCCAACGGCATCATCTCACCCTCTGAGGATAAGCTAGCTCAGCGGCTGCAGCAGCTGGTGACGGAGAACCCAGGGAAATCCATATCGGTCTTCCTGAACCCCGACGACGTGTCCAGGCCGCACTTCCGCATCGACGACAAGTTCTACTGAGTCGTCAAGGAAATGCCTGTGAGTTTATATCCAAGGGAGGGTGACCCCGCTGCTTGACTAAGTCTTAAAACCAAAATAAAATAGACAAACACACTTCCTTTGGGGGAAAACTGCCGTCCAGTTATCTGGATGTCACCGAGTTGTCGCCACGGCGATAAGTGTCTCCTAACGAGCTGGCCTTAAGGAGACCAAACAGCTGTAGCTTGGACATGAAGCGCCTGCTTTAAAACAAGAACCAGAGACTGTGTGTACATGTTTGCCTTAGGGAGTCGGACTGTGACGTGCCCCTCTACAGAAATCATCCAATTCATCACAGCGAGCGATTGACGAGTCAGAAATGGAGGAAAACGAGCTGATGAAACTGATTGTAATGTTGTGAGGAGAGCTGTGAGAGTCTCTATGAAACTCCTTTTCATTTACACTCAGTTTGTGCGACTGTTTAACTTTTCTCAGGTATGCACAACATTTTAGAAGTAGTTTTTTTTTTCATTCTGTTCAAAACCCAAAATAACATGAAACTACTGAAATTACCCGGATCGTACCAAAGAACAGTGAATTGATTGTTTGACAAAAAATGTTCTTCTCTGAACATTTCTTTGATGAGGCTACGGCGCAGGAATCTAGCAGCAGAATCGGTTCCTCAGAGGATTCGAGAAAACAAATCAAATTGATAGAAACACATATTTTCTGAACTGGAGGAAGGTTTTAAGCTAGTTAGCTTTCCATCGTTTTTAGGGACCTTTCTCTGATGTAATGAAACTGCTCGTCAGAGAATCCATAAGCTTTCTAAATCTTTTGAGTTCTGGTTTTAATGTCAACAAAAATCTAAATCCTTGCGTTTTTCTCTACCGTTTGAATGTGTTTGAAGGGTTATGGTTAAATTGAGGAGGAAAGAAGAAGTTGAACACATTTTAGATTTTTAAACCAAATTCTCTTATTAAAATCCTCAACATGGGGGGAAAAAAGCCATTTCCTCTAAAGGTATATTAGCCCATAGATGTAGGGCTGTGCTACATCTGTCAATGCTTTTTACTAGAGATACACATCCAGGTTATATCCAAGAATGTAGCATCCAAACTGGTAAAATTCAAGATGAAGCCAATTCATTCAAGTAGAAACGATCATTTAATCACATTTTTATGCAGTCCTATGTGCCGTGAAACAGTCATATACAGTTTATCATGTAGTGCCAGTTGATAGTTGTTAATAGAGAGTAATTTACTAAAAGCGTATTAATCTTTTAATCAGATCCACTCAGAAAGAGCCTCATGATGAAGGCCTTTAATGTCCATGTTTTACTACCGTTGCCCTTTGTTCACCAAATGATAAAAGCGTAGAATATTTTTTGCACCAAATGTATTAGAAAAATGAACCATCATTAACCGAATGAATCAGGACAAAAAATAAATCACAGTAGTGATGTGAACATTAATTAACCTCCTTCAGTCTGATCTAGGCTACTTTCAGCACTGGGTTCTACACCCTTTTTTTTAGTCTTAACCGTTTGATTAACATAGAAGTATATTAAATAATACTGGAATGTTCTACCTTTTTAATAACGGTCTGCACTAATATTCCTGAACACATGTTTTAGAAAATTGAAAGCAAGCAAGCTTTTACTAATTCTCTCCTCTGACTTTTAGGATTTAAAATCTATTTCAAAGCCTTTTTTAAAAACTCCGGTTCCCTGTTTTAATGAGTTCGAAATAAATTGTTGAATCTGACATGATAGAATCTTTTAGCAACTTGAGACTGTTGGATATAAAACCTGGAATATACCTTAGCGGTAGCATCTAATTCCTAGCAGTGCTCTTAAATCCATTCCTCTTAGGGCCAGTACCCCGTGGCTTCATGGGGCTTCTTTATCCATTTCTTCATTTTACTTGGGTAGGAAGGCGGCCATTGGAGATTGAAACCACTTAGGTAGACAGAGGCATCCACCAGCTGTTTTATTAGACAACTCTTTGTTTTTAGTATACATCTGCCATCTGTCATTACCTTTTATTGCAGCAGATGGCAGGGTGTGGACAGTGAAGGTATGGCTGGAATATTGATGTTTCTTCAATTATATAAAGCTTGGTGAGCAATGAGCTCCATCCACCACAAGGTTTTAAAATGAGTGACTTCAATGATATTATTTTTTACTCCAGAATCTTTTTCCACATTACATCAGCAAGGAATATCTACATCTATTGTTTTTTTTTTTGTTTGTTTGTTTGTTTTTTTAAATCTCAGCATTGGCCTTAGAAAACTTGATCAGGGGAAAAATAAAAGTTCACAGATCTAAATAAGAAATAAAATCAACGTGTCCGTTAAAAGGTAAAGGGCTGTGATGTCATGTCTACGTCCCACTAAAACAGGATATAATAGACTTTAAACTTAATACGCCCATAGTTTAATCTTTCAGTTACATTTGTTTTTCCAGAGGTGTTAGGATAGCTAACAATTAAGCGATCTTGCGGGTATTTCCCAATATTTTCAATATAAAATCCAATATAAATGTACTTTAGATGGATAGGCATAGCCAATGGAAAAAATAAAAATTATTTATTGGAGTACTTTGGGGCTTTATTTGCACATTTTCCAGCAGTGTAAACACATGTAGAGGGTTCTGGGTAAAGAAATAACATTAATATATCTGGTCAATCATTGTTGAAGATTAACATATTATTTCTAGTTATTGCTTAGATTTAAAGATAAATTTGTAGGAAAAAAGAAAATTCACATGAAATAAAATGCATATTTATTTTTCTGACACAAACGTTAGCCTTCATAAAACTCAAACCCCTGAAGTTTATATTACTCTACCAGGCTAAACCGTGATGCTTTCCACACGTCCGGTTTAGCTTTATATGCTGATGATACGCCGATGTGATCATGGATTCCTGTGGTATTTTATCATCCAACCACAGCTTTTGTCTTTTTCTACTTTTAAAATGAATGTTCTTGGACTATGAACTTGATTTGAGTCGGTTGTTTTTAAAAGATACGCTAATATTTCACTCTTAAGGGCAAGCTTAGATTTTAGAACGAGCTAATTCAGGAGCAAATGGTCACGATTTGACAAAAATTAAAGAGCTGGCTTAGAAGTTTTAGATCACTCTGCATTTCTGGACATTTTTACCTCCAGGTAACAAAACATTATTATTATTATTATTATTATTATTATTATTATTATTATTATTATTATTATTATTTTCAAATTGAACGTATTGTTTCTTTAGACTTTTGCTGCTTTTTTTAGATCATGGCTGAATCAAGTTGTCCACAAAGTGCCCAGTTTTTCCCTCATATTAAGATTTTTAAACACATCTGTTCATTTATTGTTGGACAAACTTTGAGTTATCTTTTTTATCGACTTCATATCGTGAGACTTGAGTGATTCAGATAATTGTCCCGTGTCTCCTCTGCTTGGTTGGTGCCTCTTAATGAGCGTCATGTATCTTGTAAATGAGCGGATGTGTTTCCAGATGCTGTGCGGTGAATTATTTCCCCCTCACTGCGTCCGCGGCTGGATAGAGGGAATCAGAGTTTCTGGAAAAAACGGACCTCTTAAAAAAAAAAAAAAAAAAATCATCTTTTTTTGTATTTCATTTATAAAAGAAAACAAGGCTTTTCACTGAACACACTTTTAATGCTGCTGCTGCGTATTGAAATGATCTAATTTATATATATTTTTTGTTCCAGTCAGTAATTGTTAGAGTTGACAAAACAAATGCCGTTCAATCAATGTAAATCAGTTTTCAACACTGTCTCCAAACTAATTTATGGATAAACACGGAGCGCTACAGCTCTGCATCCAGTAATGGAGCACTGCCAGGGTACCACTGTTGAAATATCAGCCTGACGGTGGTGGGTTATTCAATTTTAACACAGCGTCTCTCTTACTGACAGTTGTTTAAAGTCTTTATAACATCTGCAAACAAAGTTGTGCTTACTACTGAACCGTCACTTTCTTGTTATATATTGTCTGTGGACTGAAGCGGTTGGTAACCAAAGTGTGTTGTCTATGCGGTACAGGATATCAGTGTTTTCAGCACTTTTCTTTTTTTAACCCAGGAAAAGGAAAAAAAAAACACTGGAAGATTTAAAATGTACATTATTTAGGAATTGACTTACGAGCTGATTCAGTGTAGATCCTGTAAAAGGTCTTGATCAGTTAAAGACAACAGAAACAAAATTGTTTTTGTTGGTTTTGCTGGATATGTACACTTAAACTCTTTGTAGAGTGTATAAATTCTTGTAAATGAAGATATGCAATCATTGGGGCAGCCTGTCATTTCCAGACCTGCTGGAATCGAGTGTGGATTTCCTGCTGTAAATAATCTTTAAAAGAGAGGAGGGCAGATCCAGTATCATCATTTCAAACTCAGTTTGAAACTGAACCTTTTGATCAATCTGCTGTGTATCAATAGCAGAATAAATTACCTGAATGTATCAGTCTCTTCTCCTTACTCTATTTTTTTTTTTTTTTTTAATCTCTGCTGTAAACCCAACTTTAAATCTGTTTCCACCTGGGTTCTTCCTCATGTTTTTTTTTTGTAGAAATTGCTGACTAATTTTTGCTATATTTGTTACTTCTCTTTATTTCCTGGGGATTTGTATTGATTGATTGATGTTTGAGCTTTAGCATGAAATAAATCCATATATTTCAAAAAGCCATCATTTGGAGAGTGCTGGTTGAAAAGTTCTTAACAGAAAATGAGTGCAGTTATGTGAATAAACCAACAGAGGGCGCCACAGTACAGCATTTTGTACACACACTGCTGCATGGGAACCATGTAGGCCTACTGTATTAACACACAATTTAATGTTAAATATCAGCACAGCACAGAAGCGTTTCACTGTAACCCTAAATGTCCAAATTTCTGACTAAATCAAACCAGGGCAGATACTTTAAATGTTATTCATTAGAACAACTTTAATGGGCAGAGATAGGAAGAAATTAGTTAGATTTACTTGTGTAGACTTTTTAAAAAAAGGGGAAAAAAAGGTATTTTTTTTTAGTTTTACAACATGGTAGTATTTTAACTTGAGTGAAAATATAAAGTATCATTATTCTTACTCCAGTAAAATTACTGACTGCTTTTGAGACACACTTTTCTTTTTTCGTACTGAAGGCTTATTGGTTAAATGTCTGTGAAAATTCTCAGTCATCCGGATCATAGAAAACAGACTTTAACTGAGTTTCGTCTAAATGTCTTCAGAAAAATTAAGCTAAAGTCTAGTATCCTTAGTAAACAAATCAGGTACTCAGTATTTCAAAGAAGCCCTTTTACAAAATATTTTACTCTTGATCAATTTATCTACTTTTTACTTGAGTAAAAATATGAAGTAGTGCTGCTCTCCACCGACCTCTGTTTATAGGTCAAACACATATACAAAGCTTTTGCTTAAACCCGTTTAGACAAGTTAGCAGCCTTAAATTAATGCTAGACTGAAGCACATTATTAACCCTTTAAAGCCTGATCCAAGAATAAAACAAAACAGAAAATAACTTTTTTTTGGTTTGAATTCCTTATTTGCCCTTTTAACAAAATATGTAAAAAGAAAAAACAAATAAATTTTTGATATTAATAATTATCAGGTATTATATTATCAGGTATATCTGATTGTGTACAATAGGATTTTAAGCAACGTTTTTACCATTAAATTATGCAAAAGGTGTCAGACACAAAGCATTTCAGAAACCGTATGTTTAAAATACGATACATTTGGCATTATAGGGTTAACATCTGCTGTCAGTTAACCCAAAAGCAGGAGATTGATTTGTATTTCGTAATTAAATCCATTGAGCAGAGAGACATTTTTCAAAAGGATCAAAAGAACCTTTTATTCGCAGATATCAGCAAAAAAGGTAACAAAATTTCTTGCAGTGGAAAACAGAGTAAATGTTTATTAGTAGTTGGGGAATTTATGGCATTTTTTCTAATTTTGAAAGAAAAAGAGGAAACAATT